GAAAGGAAAATTTTAGAATTGAAAAAATTAGGTAAAGAAGCCCTTGCCAGAAAGAGGCCAACTAGTTAAGTAAGGTGAAGGTCTTTTGTATCATTTATTACTGATATATAGTTGACATACAATGTTATATTAGTCTCAAGTGTACAACATACTGTTTAAACGCCTCATTAATGGCAAAATGAATAAATTTTGGTTGGAGGTGGCAAGAAGGTGGTAGTATTGGTAACACACAGACAAAAAGTTACTAATAGAATATCCTACCCACATGAAGAATACAAGGTTGAGTAAGAAAATGCTTTATTCTAGACTTCGTCATGAAGGTAAACAATGTCATGGAAATATGATTCAACACTTTTAAACATGTCTTTGCTATGTATGTTACATGTTTTTACAATTTTTACATGCTGTCAAGTATTTTTTTTAACTTTTTTAATATGCCAACTTCACCATGGGTAAGTTTAAAGGAGACTATACATTACATTTTCAAATCTCCTAGTTCCTTGCTACTCAAGGTGTGTCTCACAGATCAGCAATGACATCACCAGAAAACTTGTTAAGAATGCAGGATCTCAGACACATCTCAGACCTACTGAGCGTGAATCTGAAATTTAACAAGACATCCTAGTGATTCATAAGTACATTAAAATTTGAGAAGCACGTTCTAATTCACTGTTCTGTGAAAATATCAAATAGTACAGGATTTCATTAATAAAAATTCTAAACTCTCTTTTCTAGTCCCTTCTCATATTGCAACTCGAATGTTCCCTGGTTTGTGGTCATTATTAGAAATTTTGTCTTTACCTTCTACACATTTTCTATGAACATACAAATATAAAAATGTAATTCATAAATTCTCAGAAGTTTACAAATCTATGAGGTAGGAAGACAATTTGAGCACAAAATAATTAGTTGAAATCTTTAAAAAATCATGTTCTAATAATGGATAATTTTAAACGAGTACCTTGTTTCAGTTACTGCACACTTCAAAGTGTGTAACTCATTTTTTTTTCTCTCACGTAGGAAGTGGATGTTATTGAGCAGATGAGAACATTGAGGCATGGTGATTTATTCAAGATAACAGCAGGTTAATGAGTGCCAAGATTTAAACTTACAATATGACTCCAAAGCCCTACCTTGCAACCACTACTTACTCAGCCACCTTACTCAGATTATGTGTTTTATTTTAGATCTCCAGAGATCTATTGAGAAGCCGCTGAAGAATTAAAAAGAAGCTTTTAAAAAATACAAACGCAAAAGTAAACATGTTCCATATTTCCAGTGATGTCATATATTCATACTAACCAATAACTTCCTGAAAAGAACTCTATTTGATTTCTGGGTACCAAGGTTCTGTTCATACAGTACCTGAGAGTAGTTACTAAGCATCTATTGTTAATCCTCTGGTAGGTTCCAAATGACATGTGGGTTTCTGGAGAAAAACAAAGTTATCTTTCACATTTCCCAGTAGATTTCCTTCTGGAAGGTTAGCTGTTTATCACATAACTAAAGGACACTTTCCTAGAAGACTCACCAGCCATAAAGCCAAATGAGAGAATCATGACAAACTAATTTTGAAACTTTATGTTCTGAATTATTGATTGTCTCATACAAAGTAAGTCCACCAAAGGAAGTGTGAGTCTGGACCAGAACATGTAGCAACAATCTCACATAGTAAATTTACCACTTAGTAAGTTTGCAAAATCTATGTCTATTGCTATGATACTTCTTTTCATTTTTGTGCTAGTTTTACTAACAAATATGAATTCAAGGAAGAAATTATTTTTCCAATACCAAAAAACTAAAAAGCAAAAAAGCCTTCTATTTAGTTGTCCCTTAACTAACCTATTTCCACTTTCATTTGTTGAGGGATTCCTAGATTTTCAAAACCAATTGTGGTGTATCATTAGAGTGGCCATGCCATGGTGTGCCTGAAATAGTCCTAGCTTATGTTGTTTTTCTACTGTAATTACTAAGAGCAGACCATTTCATTATTAAGAATATTCATTGTTGAATGGTTAATTACATGTTCATCTTACTTATGACTCTGTTACAACAGAAAATTGATATTCAGGTAATAATCTCATTTTTCCTTTACTCATGGGGCAAAAGCCAATTGGACTATAAATGGACCAAATATGTATTTCAAATCTAAGCTTTGCTTTACTGGCTGGAATAGATCAAATTTAACTGATAAAGCAAATGAAAAATATCAATAAAGATAAGTGAATTTAGGCTAAAATTTCATAGGATTTGGCATTGTACAAATCTACAATGAACTCATGAAACCATGTTTTCTCAAAATTTAGTAAACAGTTATATTTTACAATGATAAGAATGTTTATTAAAAATTATAGCCCAATCAACTATCTTCAATACCTAATTCAGACAAAGTGGAAATTAGTCCTTATCCACGCAGATTATAGATAGAAAAATTTCAATTTTGAGTTCATGAGAAATCCCATGGTAGACACACAAATTCATTGAGAGATGGCTGCTCTTATTATGCAGATTAGACACTTCTAAAAGTCTGATTGTTTCCTTTTGATGACAAGCCTTATTATTATCAAATGTCTCCAAAAAGTATGGCCCCCAGACTGAACTGTCCATGGGTACTCTGGAGGTTCTGTTCAAATCTCTATTTTGGGGCTCTCAAAAATTATATTATTTGCTTTTTGTGTGTTAATTACCACCATAGTACTAGGCCAGTGATTTTGTTTTGCTCAGCTTTATGTCCCTAGTACCTTGTCCAGTTTCTTCAACTCCATGAATAAATAAGCAAATAAAAATAAATGAACAAATGAAGATATGATAGCTTTTTATAAATTACAGTACATTTTGCTACAGTGTGATTCTGAGTAAGGCATAAATAATTCAGTCATTCCGGATACACCACTGAGAAAAGACAAAAATAAGGCATTATAATGCAGCTGAGGATGCTTGTTCTCAGCCCCTTGAATGAATCAGCGTACAGGCATACTTCATTTTATTGCATTTTGCAGATATTGCATATTTTACAAATTGAAGGTTTGTGGTAATCCTGAGTGCAGTGTCTATCAGCACCATTTTTCTAACAGCTTTTGTTCGCTTTGTGTTTCTATGTCACATTTTGGTAATTCTCACAATAATTCAAGCTTTTTCATTATTATTCTATTTGAATTACTGCAATCTTGTGATAAAATTTATACAAAGAATTGCTTCCAATGGATGAGCAAAGAGAGTGGTTTCCTGAAATGGGATCTGCTCACAGTGAAGATACTGTGAGATTGTTGAAATGACAACAGTGTGCTTAGAATATTAATAAACTTAGCTTATAAAGCAGCAACAGGGATTGAGAGGATAGATTCCAAATTTGAAAGAAGTGCTACTGTGGGTAAAATGCCATCAAACAGCATTGCACACAACAGAAAAATCATATCTGAAAGGAAAAGTCAATTGATGTGGCAAGTTTCACTGTGTTATTTTAAGAGACTGCTACAGACCCTCCTATCTTTGCAACCACCACCTTGATCTGTTAGCAGCCATCAATATCGAGGCAAAACTCTTCACCAGCCAAAGGATGATGACTCGCTGATCGATGATGGTTAGTATTTTTTAGTAAGTAAGTATTTTTTAAATTAAGGTATGTACATTGGTTGGTAGACATAATGCTATTGCACACTTAACAGGCAACAGCATAGTGTAAACATAGCTTCTACATGGATTGGAAAACCAAAAATTTATTTGACTCAATTTATTACAATATTCACTTTATCACAATGATCAGGACCCCGACCTGTTATATCTCCAAGGTATGCCTATAAATAGGAAACACTAGTAAGTTGTTAAAGTTGATAGGATGTAGTCAGCAAGGAAGATATAAGATATAAGAACTTCAATATGGAAAACCACAGTCTCTTCTGATTCCTGTTGTAGAGAGCCTAAACCACTCTGGTATTTCTTTTAACTCAGAATAATGTTCCTGTTATGATTGTGAATAGGCTGTAAACATCATTATAGCTTTATTTAAAAAAATTAAAATATACGGGATGATTCCTTTCTGGTAAAAATGCACATATAGTTAACATTAATAACTTTTAAAATTTATGTATGGATATTTTCTTTAGCATATGATATTTTTTGTAAAATGTATGATGCCAGTTCATTCTAGGAATAGAATTAGTGATTAGATATAGGGACTTTTATATTTTTTTCCTTTTATTTATTTTAAAAGATGGACAAATCAGAGGTATGGGTTTTTTTTTTTGCAACACTTAAAATTTAATTCTTGAATAATTATTGCTTTTTAAAAAAATAATTATTGCTTTTAATTAAACAATCTAATAACTAAATTAATGAATGCTATCCCAACTAATACTCCACAAACAAGGCAAACAAAACATTATGTGATGTACTTAAAATGCAACCAAAATTTATAGGATAATTTTATTTCTTTTTTGGATAAAAAGATCTGAGCACATACAATGTAAGTTACCCCATAAAGTGAATAATTAAAAAAAATAATATATGATAAATTGAGTTTTAAGAGACAAAATAAATAATGAATTTTTCTCATGATCTAGTATGTTGGTAAAAATTGAAAAATTTTAAAGACCCTAATTTGTCCCAAGAATTTTCTTTATAGGCATTGGATTTTTCAAAAGATAAAAAAAGAGAATTTTATTGATATATTAGTCTTTCTAATTATGCATTTAATATAAAATCATGTTCCTATCATAACCATAAATCTTGAAATTTTTGTAATTTAATTCTGAATAATGCTATTCCATTTCCTATATAATCTGTATGATCTATTATAGCATGAATCACTCCTTTGTTGGAAACATTCCTCAGAATTTATAGAGAGAGAATTTGGACTGAAAATTAATTTCCTATTTCTAGGAGAATTCTTAGAATTTAAATTAACCTATTGGTTGAACTGAAACCACAAAATTAGCATTTTACTAATCACTAGATTTAAATAGCTGTGGAGCAAAGACATCTGCCATCACCTTGATCATCAACCAAGGTTGCTTCTTTCCAGTCTTGGGTTCAAGGTATTGTCTTTACATTTAGCAAAACTACTTTGATCTCACATTGTCTAATCTCTTTCACTCTTCATTAAGATGCATCTGAAACTTTTCTGTGTGTTTGCAAATATTGATACCTTCTTATGATATACTGGTAGCTTAAAAATGCATTTGCAAATTTTGACACCATTCATATCAGATCTTTAGGTGAGAAATTAATATAGTTTTGTAAAGGCCAAATTATTTTTTAGTGACAGTAACTAAAACCTTGTATATTGAAAAAGTAGATACATAATTTCAGTAGAAACTATGGTGAAGTATTTTGAATTATTTCGCCCAATTCAATAGAAACTTGTTAGGCAAAATACTTTCTGGTCTTTTTAATTACTGTAACAAAGACTATTTCGGGTAGAATATTTCAAGACCAGTTTTATTTCATAGCATTTTGTTAATAAAATTAATTATATAAAGGTTATGTCAAAGATAGATATAAAAGACAACTTTTGTAAAGATGGTTAAATTTGAATATTTGGAAGGATACAAATGGATAAAGATAGTAAATTCATTTTGGGTTTATAAATATACTTTCTTTACTAGTATGTTTAGATATTACATTTTATATATACTGCTCAGTATACATAAAAATGTCAGTATTAGCTTGTTGACTAAGGCATAAACAAATTGCACATATGATCTTAAAAAAATTATCTGTAAACTATTTTTCTACCGCATATAAATATCAGCAATTATAGATTACTGCAATTTGATGGAACTCCGGAAATCAAACACAACAAGGCACCTGAATCATATGATTCTATCCAGTCATCTTCATACAGCCAAGTCATGGATATTATCAGTGTAGCTAAATATGAAGATTCTTTTAAAAAAATTGATAGAGGTTAATAGTTTCTACATAATGCACTGATATCATTTCTTATGAAGATTCTGAAAGAGCAAGATGCTCTGAAATAGGTTTAAAGGAGGAAGACATTTTCCAAAATTTTCAGATAAAATTAAATACTAGCTCTTAGGGGATTTTCATTTATTATCCATTTTGCAAATCTGATGCTCTAGATGGGAAAGCTTGGGTTTTTTTAAAATTATATTTAAATATTGATTATTCTCTATTTCTCTGACAAAACCATATTACCATATTCAAGAATCAAATGTTTTGTTTTAGAATGTTAGTAGATAAAATTATTGGTAAGAAATTGATATTTCTTAAAGCAAGCACTGAGCAAGATAACTAGAATCATAAACTAAATATATATTGAATAGCAAAATTTTAAAAATCATGTTAATTAAAATACCACTTCTCAAATGAACTTATTTTAGCGTAAAATTTCCTTTGCTGGAAAATCAAGGATTCCTTTTTCATTTTGTATAAGATCTAACTTCTTTTTATTTCTCTTACATAGGCGTTGACAATCATGAAGTTTCTCATCCTTACCTGCCTTGTGGCTGTTGCTCTTGCCAGGCCTGTGAGTACAGCAAAGAATTTAGAAGGTTGTAGATTCTTGTTAGAAATGACCTGATATCTTATCAAACATAAAATATGGAGAATAATAATCTTAAAGCATGGGAAGATCTCTAATTAAAGTCTTGATATTAAAACTATGATAATGCTTCACAAGCCTCAACTCTAAATAAAATGTCTGGCTTGAAATATAAGCACTATTCAATAAAAAAAATTTAAAAAATGAAAAGCACAAAAAGAAAAAAACAAGATATTGCACAACACAATAAATAAGATCAAAGAATAGACTTAGACTCTTTCCCTGGATCCATTACAGAATTAGCAAATTTGTAGACATATAACAGGTCTCAGTATTCCTTACCAAATAAACAAACCAGGGAAACTTGGTTTCAGATAAATTTTGCTATTAAAATATGAACCTTTCTTAAATAGCCATGTTTAAATTCATAGTGTATGTATATTGTGACATTATTATTATTATTGCATTCTAATTGCTTTTTTTGTTTTGCTTTGTTTTACAATTCTCTTTTGTTTTTCACAGAAACTTCCTCTTAGACACCCAGAACTCACTCAAGTGAGTATTCTATTCTATGTTCTAAGAACTCTAACTATGGAATTTAAGTGATAATGTATTGGTAGATTCTAGGCCTGTTCTTCTCTTCTCTATAAAACAGTTTCACATTCACTGAGTTACAATATCTTCAGTTCAAGTGCCCACAAGTTTTTATTTGTTTTCACAAACTTTCTTAGAGAAGAGGGCACATGGACTTACATAATGTTTATAGTAAATAAAAACCTTAATATTCAAGAGAAATAAACAGAATATGTTAACATGATTTATTTTAATGTATTCTTGCTTCTTTCTCTTCTACTTGTACTTTAACATGTGATTGATGATTTGGTTTCATTTTACACACTGGATCTTGAATTAGATACCTCTACCACACATTTCTGCATGAGCCATTAATTCTCCACTCTGTCCACTGATTGAACTAATACCCTTTTTATTTATTTATTTATTTATTTATTTATTTTATATTCTTTGCAGAATGAGCTAGATAGCAGAGAGGTAAGGTTTTGCTCCACCCCGACCCCCACCCCAGTCCCCAAACTTTTCTGTTAGCTGTGAATGATAATGAATGTCTTTTTCACTCCAATTTTATTTATCTTCATATGTGTCCAAGTACTCAGTTACTTGGATTACTCACTCAAATCTCTCTTTTGATTAAATCTTCATTCAATTCCTCCTTTAAGATTTTAAGCATAGACTTACTAAATCTCTAGGCCTCGTAAAAAAAGGAACCAAATAGAATGTCTCTTTAGTTTTAAAAATTAGATCATAAAACTAGAACTATTTACCTTTTCTTCTACCATAAGAAATATGTTACTTTATCTAATTAAAATTGATAACGTGTTCAAATGGACAAACATGCTCCTTTTTTGGTATCTTTCATTTTTTATCACTCACAATTTAATTTGACAGGAAGTTCTCAGAGAAAGACAGTTTCTCAGATTTGCTCTGGTGAGTATTATCTTTTTATCCTTCTTAAAGACAAGCATTTTTCTGGGAAATTTACTTTAATTTTAGTTTATAAATGATTTTTCACTTGGCTTGATCAAATCTTCCTTTCGTTCAGTCACCCAGGCACCCACAAAGAATATTAAAACCAGATATTCAAATATTAAAGAGCTGTTTTAGTTTGTACCTTATGCATTTGCTTCTTTGCAAAACACTCATGGTTTTTTTTTGCATAACCTAGGTAGAACACACAACTTCCAAAAACATAACGATGGAACATTTTTTATCTCTAAAATGATATCCCTTTATGTGTTGTATTTTGTATAGTTTTGTGACTTAATTGCCAAATAAAAAACACAAATAGAAATTTTACTTCAAGACCACTATTTTTTGTATTTTTTTATTGGAGTTCGATTTGCCAACATAAAGCATATCACCCAGTGCTCATCCTGTCAAGTGCCCCCCTCAGTGCCCATCATCCAGTCACCCCAAAACCCCTTCCACCACCCCTTCCACCACCCCTTGTTCTTTTCCCAGAGTTAAGAGCCTCTCATTTCTGTCATCCTCACTGATATTTCCCACTCATTTTCTCTCCTTTCTCCTTTAATCCCTTTCACTATTTTTTTATATTCCCCAAATGAATGAGACCATATAATGTTTGTCCTTCTCCGACTGACTTACTTCACTCAGCATAATACCCTCCAGTTCCATCCACGTTGAAGCAAATGGTGGGTATTTGTCATTTCTGATGGCTGAGGAATATTCCATTGTATACATAGACCACATCTTCTTTATCCATCATCTTTCCATGGACACCGAGGCTCCTTCCACAGTTTGGCTATTGTGGACATTGCTGCTAGAAACATCGGGTGCAGGTGTTTTGGCGTTTCACTGCATCTGTATCTTTAGGGTAAATCCCCAGCAGTGCAATTGCTGAAGACCACTATTTTAAGTTTGATAGGCAGCCCAACTTTGCTTGAGTGATTTTTAATGTAACTTTTCTTCCTTCTCTCTCTTTCTTTCTAGCCTACACCAAGAGAACTAAGAGAGGTAAGAAGATCTCCACAAAATATACTGTAGAGAAGCAAGTGTTGTGCTGTGCATTTATTGCCTTTTTATGGAAATAGATGCTCGGCTTATTGAACCAGACAGAAACGAGATCAAGAGAACTCAGAACTATAACTAAAACAAGATGAAAGATAACAGTAAAATGTAGTGGGACAATTTTTAAAAATTATTTTAAGTGAATATTTTCATACAGCTTAAGCAAAGGACACTTAGCAAAGAGAAACTAATGTTGGAAGTGATATAGCAAGAAATATTAGTACATTCATAAAAACATTTATTTTTTAACTTACAGCATCACCATGCAAGGTACATTTTCTTATAGATGTTCATTCATTTATGTCCCTGTTCACAACATTGTTCTTTTCTTTTCTATCCCTAAGGAATACTTCAGTGAACTGAGCAGGGTTAGGAACACCAATGATATTTAAATGATTTTAAAAGTTTATCCTTTCAAAAATAGATTTTATAAAGTATTGCTTATAAGCAATACTTTTTTAGCTTCAATAGAGTGAACTTCTGAGAGAAAAACAGAATGAAGGAATCAAGGTATCAAAAATTTTCTTAAAATAGTGTGGCAAAAAAAATGTAGTCTTGAAGTAGGAAAACTGTTTTAATTCAGAAAAAATTTAATTTTTCCATGGCATTTATAGTTTACTTGAACATTTCAGTCAGAAATTCAAAATAACTAATGAATTCTACTGAGAATTATAAAGAATACTGACTTTATTGCCATTACTTTATAGCTACGAGGAGACAAAACATTAGGATGGATGGATGGATGGATGGATGAAGGAAGGAAGGAATGTGTGCATGTATGAATACAGCTATGTGCTGGCCAATTGTTTGCACTTGTTGCTAAAGCTGAAGAAATGCCTCATTTGGGACATTACATAAAGGAATATATCTGCTCCAAGAATGTTTTACGTAGTCACAGTTGATTATTCAGTTTATTTAAACATGATTTTTAAAATCTGGATTGTCTACTAGGTTTTTAATAGATTTGGTATTAAGAGATGACACAGGTGTTTTTTGTTTTTCTGATCACTTGGCTATTGCCTCAATTTTCTAATTTCTTGGCTATTTTATTTAGTAACTATTATGTTACATTTGAATATTTATCATGAAACATAAAATTACTTCTCTTTTCCTAAGGTACAGGTCATGGAAGACCCTGAGGTAAGACACCTTTATTTCAATAAACACCACACTTACATATCATATGTAGTGTATTCTGTATGCTTTATCTTAGCAAAACTATTTTCTCAAAGTGATTGAGATTTAATTTCTCAAACAGTCCTATTATATCCAAAAATGTACAATGCCATGCTGGATAAAGTTAAAATTGAAAGAGGGAATATGGCACTTGAATGCTAATCAATGAAAACATTGCTTATTTATTAAAATAAGAGTAAAAAGCAAAATGTGCATGGATGTTCAAAAATGAACCATGAGGTTCCAACAAAAGCTTGCCTCTGCCTTCCAGAGTATGAGCTCATTCAATGTTGAGGGTAGTCCTTGGGCAGAAAAAATCTATTACAGCAATCACCTGGGATCGATGGGCTATGCTACCCAATCTAAAAATAGGGAAAAAACATCTGTTAGTCCATAATATATGGTTAATCGACTCTCCCAAGAGATGAACAGTCATTTGAGTATTAAAATCAATCTTTTAAAATTGTATTTGGGAACAAAAATTATATCCATATATAAATTATAACACACATGGCTTAGAAGGAAAACTGCATATTCCAAAGGGTAGATGCTTTTAGAGCTAATGTCATTTTAGCTCAATACTGAAATTGGTTGTAGTATTTTAATGTTTCCAGTTTATTCACATCAAAGTAGTTCCAAAGGTAGATGAGAATAAACACTGAACCCAGAACTCTGAGTAGCTCTGCTCAATAGCGCTTTTTCCCCAAGTTTCATTTTTTATCACAAAAATCCATATGTATTTTGCATCCTACTCCATCATATATCTGTGTTTATTTTAATAAAAACATTTTAAAATATTGGGTAAGTTATTATCCTCTTCCCACCATCTATTTTAAATAAAATTGACAATCCAAAAAAATGCATTACATTGGCCCTAAGCTTTTCACATCACTTTTTTCAAACCTGAAACCAAGACTTACCAATCCAGTATGAAAGTGTAGAACTTGTTTCCTTCCAATTCTAAAAGTCTCATGGTCAGTAACATTGGTTTTCTTTTTCTTAGCAAAGGCAATCCAGCAGCAGTTCATCAAGCGAGGTAAATGATTTTGATGTTAATTCAATATCCCAATTACTTAAGAAACATTATGAAAGCTTATTGTACCATGAAGGTTACATATTTTATAAGGTCTCATTGCACAAGGTGCTACGTATGTGGCTTTCTTTCAAAATTCTATCACATGTGAGTATCAACCCAACAGAAGTAAGAAAAGAACTATTTATCAGAGACAAAATTACAGAATTGTTTTTGGACAATCATTATCTGGCCATCTGTGGTGTCCAAACATGTTTTTTTTTTCTTAGTTATCTTGCCCTTAACAGATTTTAGTAGAACTCAATCTTGTCATTAAAAAGTATAATAATGACTGTGCTTCTAAATAATGTAAACATGTTATATCCTGTGTAAAAATCAACCAATTTTAGGTTAATTAATCACAAATTCCTTGTCCCTTGTTAGCCTAAAGAAAAACAGTAGCAGGCATAGAAGGTGATGAAGTCCTTTTATTAACTTTGGGAGACCTGCATGCAAATTATAAAATAAAACCAATCCAGTTATGTGGGGTTTCTGTAAATTCAATAAAGGTGAATATTTTATAACCACCTTCAACATTCTGAATAATCTGCCTGGTGACAGCAGGAAGAAGGGAAAAGGAAATCTGGATATAACATGTTATATCAAATTATTTATTTTGTCTCAGTAATGCATTATTTTGTGGCTAAAAATCAGTTAACCAGTTATTTAGTAATAGTGTCTAGTTAATAGTATTCTTACCTTAAATATAAATTAATAAGTCACAAAATTAAAAGTGTGCTTCTTTCTGTTTTTTTTTTTTGAAGGAAGTTGTTCCCAATAATACTGAGGTGAGATATATTAAATTTAAAAAATACTAGTATCCTAAGATATGTTACAATTTACTTAAACAACATATATGTATATGTTTTGTTTGTTTGTTTGTTTGTTTGTTTGTTTGTTTTTTAGCAGAGGCAGATTCCAAGAGAAGACATACTCTATCAACGCTATCTGGTAAAATTTCATTAAAAGTTTATCAAAGGCAAATGTACCAAGGAATACGAATGTTATATTGGTAAATTATTTCTCCATCTCATTACCTGCTAAAATCTAATCCATAATGAGTTGTCTGATGGACTCTAGTTATTGACTGATCCCTCTCTGAAAGTAACACTAACAACTTTTTTATTTCAGGTATTTAAATCATATTTTCAGCTGAATATTTGTATTACATAGTCTGCTTTAGATCTGAATAGACTAGTATTTAAATGACAGTCTATAGATTTGACCAGACTTGAATTTGCCCCTAAGTTTTACCTTTTACCAGTGTGTGATGTTAGACAGTTTACTTTTTTTTTTTTAAGATTTTATTTATTGGGACACCTGGGTGGCTCAGCAGTTCAGCATCTGGCTTCGGCTCAGGTGTGATCCTGGAGTTCTGAGATCGAGTCCCACATCAGGCTCCCTGCATGGAGCCTGCTTCTCCCTCTGCCTATGTCTCTGCCTCTCTCTCTCTGTGTCTTGAATGAATGAATGAATGTATGAATGAATGAATAAATAAATAAAATCTTTTTAAAAATAAAGATTTTATTTATTTATTCATGAGAGACACAGAGAGATATGCAGAGACATAGGCAGAGGGAGAAGCAGGTTCCCCACAGGGAGGGAGCCCCATGTGGGACTCGATTCCCAGGATCCCGGGATCATGGCCTGAGCCAAAGGCAGATGCTCAACCACTGAGCCATGCAGGCATCCCAGACAGTTTACTTATCTGCTATAATTCTTAATCTAAATTCTAAAATGACCAATAATAATAAATATTAAATGATGTGAGAGCAGTTTAAAAAATCCATGCATAAAGTAAATGATCAATAAATGTGGCCAACACCAGAAACATCAACGTTTTTTCCCTCAGTTCATCTAATATTTTGATTTCATTTGACCAACTTTAAATCTTTGATCAGAAAGCAAAAATCATTTCTAATTTTCTTAGTAATTCTGACACAAGATACTTTATAAGTAAAATTGCCTGAATACTCACTTATATCTGTATTTCAAGTTAAAAATAAGTTCAGAAAGTAGCTTTTGTAATGTCTTAAAAAATAATTGACTTAGTCCAAATTATTTGTGATAGAATTAACACTAAAGTACAATTAATAGTTCCTCATTCTTTACTTCTGGGAAAAACATTGTAGAATTCTAGCTTCATGGGATTGTACTGAATGGAACCCAAGCAACTGAGAATGTTTTTTCTTTTGAATAGGAACAGCTTCGTAGACTGAGCCAATACAACCAACTGCAGGTAGTAATATTTTATTTATAATACAAAATCATATTCTGCAGAACTAAAATACATTAAATTTTAAGTTGGATTCACTTTGAAAGGTGTATTCAACTTTCTCAAGAAATCACTCTAGCCTTGGTAGTTAACAACTGAAAGACTATTCATATGATTATCTATATATTTACTATCAGAGCCATTTCTCTCTGTTTATGCCTGGATTAATACTATCATATCCATAATTACTAACCATGGAAAAATTTACTTTGCCTAAATTCCACATCAAAACCTCTTACAGTCTCTCTGATGATGCATTATATTTAGGACTTTATCATATATTTAGGACTTTTCCCACGTCCAGCCCTGGTTGAGAATTCTATAAACATTCCTGCTCATGAAAGCACAGATGTGTCAAATAAACTTTCCATTTAAGGAAATAGGAGGAACCAGGAGTCCTAAACTTTCAAAACGTTTCTGTCAAGCTCTGTAAGAAAGAATGGTCAAGTTGAACTTGTCTCTGGACTTGTTTCCTTATGTATGTGAAATGGAAATATAGTTATTCTTGCTTCCCGGTGTTATTTGAATACTGAATTAACAATCTCCTACTCAGCTAGCCCTGAGTGGGGCTTGTAGCAAGTCCAATAAAATGTTCATTCCTTCTCCTCCTGTCCTTATTTCTCAGTCTCTATAGATTTTTTAAATTTATTTATGAGCGACATGAGAGAGAGAGGCAGAGACATAGGCAGAGGGAGAAACAGGCTCTCTACTGGGGAGCCTGACGCAGGACTCAATACCAGGACTCCTGGACACTAGCTGAGCCGAGGCAGATGCTCAACTCTTGAGCCACCCAGGGGTCCCTCTCAGTCTCTATAAAGTTTACTGTGCTCATGAACTTCTGACATTACGAAGGTCTTTTATCAAGAAGTGCATTTGAACTACAGTACCATAAGCTCTTTTTATGATCAGTGTATGGATAGACTAAAAACATAAATCAGCACAACCATTTAGTTTTAATCTTTTTGGTTATTATAAAGTCATTCACTTGGGAGGAGAAAAAAACCCTTATTTTAGTTACATAAATCAACTTAATTAGGACTTTAGGGAAAAAGCCCTGTCCTAATTTAGCAAAATGACATTTTTCATTTTCTTCTGTTACCAATGTAGGAAAAGTCAATAATTAACTTAATTTGGACCCCAATTGTTACTCTGATATCAGTGTCCAAGTTGTTTGTGTTTAAAATAAAGTCCAATAAATTTAAATATATCAGTACCCCACTGAATTTTTCCTTACTGATCTAAGAAATTACCAGAATAATATATTTTATTATTTTAGCTATGATATGACTAAGCTATAAGCCTATAAGCAAGTATTATTATTATATTGGTCTTGCAAAAGTGTTCATTGTATTTCATGGTTGAGTCCTGAGTGCTAAGCATAGTCATCCCCAAATATATGAAAGCACCTAGGAAATGTTCATTATTCATACATAAATAAAATCAGTAGACTAAAACAAAATGTTTTCTCTTCCTTAGGGAGCTATCCATGACCAGGTAAGATTATTTATTAAATCTAAAATATCTTAATATTTTCTTCATGTGTTATGTTTTTATAATATGTGCTTCTCTTTTTTTAACAAATATATCCCAAAAGAAAAATTGTTCTGCTAATCATATTTGATAATATTTAAAAAATTACCAAAGATCAAATTTAAATAAATGATTAATAAATAGCCATGAAGAGAAAATATGTACACAGAAAATTGGTAGGTTATTTTCCCTCAGTATGTGAACTGTACAAATTCTTTATTTTTCCAAACTATAGTTTGAATTTTTTTTCTAAAGTTGCAAAATAAGAAGTGTTTTGAAACTTTTTCATAATTCTGACATAGAATACAGTTTCTCCTAAATTTCATGGATGATGCTATATTCATGGCCGTGAATTTTTTAAAATTTCATTTTTTTGTAAAATGAATGTATTGTACCAGATGTATAAGTAACTCAAAATGTGCTTTATTCACTATTATACAGCAACAACTTCGCAGAGTGAATGAAAACAACCTCCTCCAATTGGTAATATTTTGCTTAATAAATTGCACAGTAATAATATCCTGCAAAGTTTAAATGTGTTTGTTTTTAAATAGCCTCACACTTTGGAAGTGATTGTTTTCTTCTCCAATGGTTACTTTTCACTCCCAATTTCCACAATAATTTATATTCATTGATCTGAGAGATTAGAATTACTTGTCACTATTCTTTGGATGGGATCTGTTCTAGTCTGTTTTAGTTGATGTGAGAGCACTGTATTATAGTCATAAGCATTAGAGTGTTAATCTCCTTGGTACATTAATTTCTCTTTTAACTTATTTCTTAATTTTATATCTTTATGCTCATAATCTGTTTCTAAAACTCAGTTTCTATTAGGAATCTTGAACTCTCAAACTGGTAGACATACTTTTGTTTTAAAGAAACCATCTGGAGAGATACTGAACATCTCTGTAAAAATACTCTCTGATCTTGTTTCCTCATCTATGAAATGAAATTGTCAGTAATACATAACAGATGCCAGTTTTTCCCCTGCCCTAAATTCCATTGATTCCACAGTGTTCCTAGGGATTCTGATTTCATTTTTAAGGCAAGAAGTAGGTACTATGTACTATGTGCTGCCATAACGGTTCTGATTCCTGTGAACAAGCAGGTCAATTCCATACTAGTTATGGAGCTCTCCAACCATTACTTGCCATTTAGTGAATCTTATAAAGGTTGCTGAAAATGTTTCACGTGTTTTAGAAGAAATTGACTCCAGGTAATATGATTGGCAAAATCAGTGTCACTGCCCAAGTCTCTAACATGAAAAGTATTTCAAATAGGTTGCTTCTTCTGATTTTGAAGCTTCATTCAACCTTCAAAAGTAACTCTGACTCTTTTTCTTTCCAGAGATTTCACAGAGTAATCATCTCTTGTATTGCTAATAGCCATGTCAGAAATTAATGAAACAGTTCATTTTCAGAGATTCAAAACAGCAATTATTCATACCCTGTTGCTTTTCAATGGTCTTTCCTTCTAGCCTTTCCAACAATTCTACCAACTTGATGCTTATCCCTATGCTGCTTGGTATTTTCCTGCACAAATCATGCAATATATTGCTTATCCACCATCCTTGGACATCACTAAACCCATTGCCTCTGAGAACACTGAAAATGCTGATGTTGTGCCCCAGTGGTGGTAAGTTCATTTAAATTACTGCATATTGATGTTCCTCCAAAAGACATAAAACAAAATCACTTACAGAATGTACCACAGAAACAGATGTAGAATCAACATGGCAAAGCAGTGTTTAGTGCCTCATTCTGAATCGGAAAATTGATAATACCTTCTGTGGCATCTATGGCTAACGTTAATCCAATAGAATAGGTGGAGCAGTGCTATCTATTCTATGAGTGAAATTCATTCTTGACGAGGTGGGAAAATAAGCTTTTCTCCAAAAAAGAATATGAAGAGTTCCATTTTAGAATTCAGTTTTCTTCTCCTTGCACTTCTATTAATCTTTAAATGCCTTTCTTTTGGTTATACCCATGATATACATAAGAATAGAGCACAGGTTTTGGTATCCAGTAGTCCTAAATTCAAGTTCCAACTTTTTGCTTACTTAAAATAATAAAACAATGCTTATTTTTCATATCTCTAAAGGTGATTAAATATAGTCATCTTTGCAAAGTATAGTTCTGGGATAATAGACACAGGAAATAAGTAGCAGTCATTTTTTTGAGCTAATAAAATTTTATTGCTGACTATTTTGATCAAATAATTTTAAAAATTTTTGTTCTTTCAGAAAAATTAAGAATTCTCAGGAACTCCACAATTATGGCTGTTGGTAAGTTTGGAAATTTTCTGTCTAACCATTAATTTTATTTACATTTGAAGGCAAAGTACAAAGATGATTGTAGGCTATATATTTTTTTTCTTTTTGTTGAAGTGTAGCTACTTGTGAACACAGTAGCACTTAAATAATTACATTAGCTTAGAAATTTACAATTTTTTTGTTTCCTAGTCATACTATATTTAAACAGCAACTTAAAAATATCTAATTTTAACTAATATAATTTATAATATTGAAATGCCTATACAAATATAGAAGTGTGGATGTTACTAATTTTCTATGAAGATGTGACCTTAAGACTCAGGTGAACCCAACAGTTGTATCCAGTAGAAATCACTGCAGTAGAAATCCTTAGCAAGTGACATAGTGAAACCAAATGATCATCTCTCAACAGGCAAATAGACTGTAATATCAACAGATTTTTTAAAATTACCGTCATCCACCATATTGGAGCTTTTAATTGTGTTTCCTTTCTCAATGGTGGAAACTTCTTTTTCAACAGATCAAACTAAAGTAAATGATAAATTCTGACCCACATGAAAATTTTATCTTCTAATAGCCTGCCATATATTTTATATTACTGCAAAGGAAAATACTATCTACTAATAAATTCTTTTCAAAACTTAAAAATCAAGAGAAATGGATATATTTATTAGCAACAGGAAAGCACAAATAACATTGTGAATTTTATCTTAAAATGAAGAGAAAATGACAGTTAAAATGTGCATATCATAAAAGTGTCTCTTCAACTCAAAATATGTAGTAAACCTAACCACATATTTGTTTTTCTATTTACAGATGTGACTGAAAATTCCATTCTCTAAAATTTTCCTGTCTTCCATGTAAAACCATCTTATCCAAACATTTAGACTATTATTTTAGAAAAAGATAATCCCAAATTTTTGAGGTCTTTACTGTGTATTAAACAGAATATCATTATTTTCCTTAAAACCAAAATTTCCTAACAGTTTATTGTCATGACATATGAAGGCCACTGAATCAGAGGGTATTGAAGTCTTTACTAAGTTTCTATTACGGAAATTTTGTTCAAAACTCTTTGAATTGCTTCTTCTGTGTCATCATTCCATGTAATTGTGTGCAGTGACTGAGATTTTTTCCTTTTCTTTTCAATAAATTACAATTTTAAGGCACAGTCCACATTTTCTGTCTTTATTCCTATTCACCTGTTTACATAATCCTTTTAAGAATATATAGCATTTTTTAATTCCAGAGAGGTGAGGGGAAACCATCTGCTGTCAGGAACTCCAAAGTTACTGAAATCTCAGGGCATAAATGAGAAAAAGACAATATATATACATATTATATATACTTATTTACACCCCAATCTATATATTTGAACCTGTGTATTTTGAATATTTGTGTGGATATGTTTGCATAGCCTTCCCATTGCTAAGACTATTGCCTAGCCATAATTACTTTTTCAATGATAATCCTTCGTAATTTATTATACAATTTATCGTTCAAAAAGCAATAATTAAAAAAGTTTACAATGACTGGAAAAATTCCTTGTAATTTGAGTTATAAATGTTATAGTTTTGTCTTGTGGCCATTCTTTGTAGATAATTTCTGCACATCTGTTTAAGTACCTGCAATTTAGTAAACAAATACATTACTTCGGTTGACCTCCCTCTGTAATAATGGTTTGAAAATGAGGTTTGGTATTGCCAAAGTTAGACAGTTGATGTGTTAACTCATAAGATCTGTCATTTGAACAGCATTGTGTAATGGGGGGAATGTGTGCAGTTACCCAATAATAACTTCAGTAGAAGAATTAAGAAAGGGAATCTTGTGTGTTTCTGTAGATAGTTCCGAGTCTTTTCCCCCTTGCCAAGGATTTATCAGAAAGGAGACAGGAAGGCTTCGCCAACCCGTCTTCCTCTCCAAAAAAGCAGGGTCACCCCATCCCAAAGCATGTGACCATTCGGCGTGGTCACGTGACCTTTCCATCTCAATGTATTATCTGACAATGTGAATAAGACAAAAATGCCATGTTTAAAACCACCGCAAAATTTTCCCAAAGCACAGGTGGTTTTGTATGTGTGAGGTTTGGGGGCTTGAGTCTGGGTGTTGTTTTGTTATTGGGATTTTTTGTTGTTGTTATGTCAAAATTGCACAAACATGGTGCTCTACCAGGAAGGATTTGAGGTAGATAGGCTCAGGCCACTCTTTAAAAACAAAACAAAACAAAACAAAAAAAAACGAGAAACGGGTATTCTTGTTGTCTTAGGGTAAAAGCAGGCAATGCACATTCCCATCCCCAACACATCAATTGTATTTTTTTTCTGTAAAACCCAGATTTTCCTCAGTATTTGTGTTTTTACATTTTATGGTTAATTTAATTAAAGATGAAAGGGCATTGCAAAGCTGTTCAACAACAATTACCTCATTGAGTGTGTCCAGTAGTGCAGGAAGTGATGTCTTATCTAATGATTCGCTACTCTAGAGGAGAAACCAAGTGTGCTCCCGAAAGATAGAATGTGTGCCGTCTGTCTTTTCCTCTGCTAAGCCCAAAGATGACAAGTCAGCATTCAAGGTGTAGCGAAGAGTGATGTATATTTATAAATCTATTTATACCACTATACCATGTGTATATATAATATATTTATAACCACTTAAATTGTGAGCCAAACCATGTAAAAGAACCTACTTTTTCCTAAGGGCAAAAAAGGAAAAAACCATCCTTTCTGAGGCTTTGCTTAACACTTGACCTCACAATCACATTGGTGAGCTTGGGCACCCCTTTGCTATTATTGTAAGAGACCCCAAAACCTTGGTGCAAAGGTGGGGACTGTGTAACAACCAGGGAGAGCGAGAGATTCATCATCTTTCACCAGTAAGGGCAGTCGGAGATGGCTTGATTTTTGTTTTGCCACATTATGATTATGTGGTCACACCCAAGTCACGGAAGTAAAGTCCCATTACTCCCTTTACCACGGTTAACTTTTCTCTACCTCTCCTTCCTTCCTAAATAACTGATGCATCACTAATCAGCCTGGTTTATATAGTCAGCCTTCTATTGATGGCCACTAATGTCAACCTGCAGCAAAGAACAAACTTAGGATAATCCAGGGAAACCTCAGAGCCTTACTGATCTGTTCCTACAAGTTGCAAAACTGACAATTTAATTTTTTTTTTATGGATCAGTGCTTGACAAACACCGTCCTTAATTGTAGGTAAACCAAAGCATCACACACTGACATCGACACCAAATACTCTCAGTTCTGCTCATTTGTTCTCTTCTTTCCCCTTTTATGCTTTCTTATTTGTGGGTATTTTTACCAAGACCTGCACGGCTTGAGACGTCTTGATTCTCTTCACCATTTGACTTTCCCTCGTAGGCCTCTTACATGTGAATATTGAGCCCACAATCAACAGTGGTTTTATTTTTTTTCCTCTAATCAAAGTTAAAACTGACCAAAGTTATTGGCTTTTTACTTTGCTAAAACAACAAACTATCTTATGTTTACGTACTGGTTTACATTGTTATTTATGTGCAAATTGTCAAAATGTAAATTAAATATAAATGTTCATGCTTTAAAAAAAAAAAGAATATATAGCATTTTGTTTTCACTAAATTTTATGATACTTTCAATCACATTTTAGTGAACATTAAAATGTCACTTCTGACTGATGCTGGCAAATTATAAACATGGTCCAAGTCAGTTGTTTGTAGAATATTTCCCATGAGTGTGGCTGCAGAGAGGATAGCAGTGTGGCATTTGTGGGTATACTGGGAATTCGAAAGACCTAGTTATACAACTTATTTACACCATTAGGACCTATTTGGGACCAACCTGCCTGATTATAGCTGAATTTATAGGTAGGAAGGTTAGTCATAATCATTTAAAGAGTTACCTAAGTACACAGTCACCTATTAGCTAAGTTGGGCTGTTCAGTAGCCTCCAGAGCCCATTGAAGAGCTCTTTCTCAAAATGACAATTGTTACTTGCTCTATTATCCTAAAAGCTCCACGTGAGATATACTTTTGGGGGTATACTCCAGATTCCCAACTAACCCAACATGCCATGACCCTTTAAGAACCACTGTATTTACCAAGTGATAACATACAAGAGAGAAGGCCTTCTGTACCATGGCCTAAGCCATAAACTGCTCTGAATCCTACCTATAATATATATTATATACACGTAACACCCAAACATAAATTTTTTGCCTTGAAAATGAAAAGAAAGCCATTTAGAGACTGGGTCTTCTCCCTTTTCTCGGGGTTAAGAAGTACATGCTGAAACAAGTTGTTTTTTTATCTAGGGAAGATGTGTCAACATACTCAGAGTACTGGACCTGCAGGAAGTTAATGGAGAGTACAGGCCCCTGTGTCTTCATAAAATTCATCTACCAATTTCTGTCATTATGCCGTTTCCCAAGCCCTCAAGGATACTGATTTTTCTGGTGTCATGAGTTCTATAGAAATAAGGTCATCAAAGGGCACCTGGGTGGCTCAGTCTGTTGAGCTTTCAACTCTTGGTTTCCACTTAGGTCATGATCTCATAGATTGTGAGATCAAGTCCCATGTCAGGCTCTGCACTCAGTGAAGAGTCTACTTGAAGATCCTCTCTCTGCCTTTTCCTTTGCTCTTTCCCTCTCTCAAGTAAATAATCTTTAAAGAAAAAATAAAGTCATCAATTTAATGAATGCATAATGATCGATGGAATAAAATAGTCATGTTTCCTGCAGACTAAACTGTGGTGCAAGACTAGAGTCGACTTGTTCTTAAACAAGTTTAAGAGCTGGAGATAAAGTATATCCTGTGCTACCAAGCAGTGGGAGGACAAATAAGTTGCTCCTGAGATCTTAGCAACTTTTGTACTGTGTATCCTTCGCCTGCTGTTGCTGTCCTGTGTTTTTTGCCTGTCATAAAGCTGTTTTTATCACCCTATAAACTGCTTGGTCTTCTGAATCCTTTCAGCAATAAGAAACTTAAGATGATTGCATGTAATTAACAGAGGCTGCACGGAAGTACTGCACCTCTGAAGAACATACAGAAAAAAATATAAAGCAGGAATTAATTTGCAAGTTCTCTCCCATCTCTTCTTTTCCATTTTTATTTTTTTTATAAATTAATTTTTATTGGTGTTCAATTTACCAACATACAGAATAACACCCAGTGCTCATCCCGTCAAGTGTACCCCTCAGTGCCCGGCACCCATTCACCCCCACCCCCCGCCCTCCTCCCCCTCCACCACCCCTAGTTCTTTTCCCAGAGTTAGAAGTCTTTATGTTCTGTCTCCCTTTCTGATATTTCTCACACATTTCTTCTCCCTTCCCTTATATTCCCTTTCATTATTATTCATATTCCCCAAATGAATGAGAACATACACTGTTTGTCCTTCTCCGGTTACTGTGGCCAAGTTCAAAAGGGTGTTGCCTGAGTTCTCCTCTGGGATTTTGATGGGATCTTGTCTCACATTTAGATCTTTCATCTATTTTGAGTTTATCTTTGTGTATGGTGCAAGAGAGTGGTCCAGTTTCATTCTTCTGCATGTGGATGTCCAATTTTCCCAGCACCATTTATTGAAGAGACTGTCTTTCTTCCAGTGGATCGTCTTTCCTCCTTTATCGTATATTAGTTGACCATAAAGTTCAGGGTCCACTTCTGGGTTCTCTATTCTGTTCCATTGATCTATGTGTCTGTTTTTGTGCCAGTACCACACTGTCTTGATGAACACAGCTTTGTAGTACAACCTGAAATCTGGCATTGTGATGCCCCCAGATATGGTTTTCTTTTTTAAAATTCCCCTGGCTGTTTGGGGTCTTTTCTGATTCCACACAAATCTTAAAATAATTTGTTCTAAGTCTCTGAAGAAAGTCCATGGTATTTTGATAGGGATTGCATTATACGTGTAAATTGCCCTGGGTAGCATTGACATTTTCACAATATTAATTCTGCCAATCCATGAGCATGGAATATTTTTCCATCTCTTTGTGTCTTCCTCAATTTCTTTCAGAAGTGTTCTATAGTTTTTAGGGTATATTTTGAGAACCATTTGAATGGTAAATGGTTCTCCAACCTTTCATTTTCAGGTTGTAGGTGTCCTTCTGTCTAAAATGAGTCTCTTGTAGACAGCAAATAGATGGGTCCTGCTTTTTTATCCAGTCTGAAACCCTGCGCCTTTTGATGGGGTCATTAAGCCCATTCACGTTCAGAGTTACTATTGACAGATATGAGTTTAGTGTCATCATGATATCTATTTAGTCCTTGTTTTTGTGGATTGTTCCACTGAACTTCTTCTTAAAGGGGAATTTTAAGAGTCCCCCTTAAAATTTCTTGCAGAGCTGGTTTGGAGGTCACATATTCTTTCAGTTCCTGCCTGTCTTGGAAGCTCTTTATCTCTCCTTCCATTTTGAATGAGAGCCTTGCTGAATAAAGTATTCTTGGTTGCATGTTCTTCTCATTTAGGACCCTGAATATATCCTGCCAGCCCTTTCTGGCCTGCCACGTCTCTGTGGAGAGGTCTGCTGTTACCCTAATATTCCTCCCCATGAAAGTCAGGGACTTCTTGTCTCTTGCTGCTTTAAGGATCTTCTCTTTATCTTTGGAATTTGCAAGCTTCACTATTAGATGTCGAGGTGTTGAACGGTTTTTATTGATTTTAGGGGGGATCTCTCTATTTCCTGGATCTGAATGCCTGTTTCCCTTCCCAGATTGGGAAAGTTTTCAGCTAGGATTTGTTCAAATACATATTCTGGCGCTCTGTCCCTTTCGGCGCCCTCGGGAACCCCAATTAAGGGTAGGTTTTTCTTCCTTAGGTTGTCATTTATTTCCCTTAATCTGTCTTCATGGTCCCTTAATTGATTGTCTCTTTTTTCCTCAGTTTCCCTCTTTGCCATTAACTTGTCTTCTATGTCACTCACTCTTTCTTCCACCTCGTTAACCCTCGTCGTTAGGACTTCTAGTTTGGATTGCATCTCATTCAATTGATTTTTAATTTCTGCCTGATTGGATCTAAATTCTGCAGTCATGAAGTCTCGTGAGTCCTTAATGCTTTTTTCTAGAGCCACCAGTAGCTGTAGAATAGTGCTTCTGAATTGGCTTTCTGACATTGAAGTGTAATCCAGATTTTGTAACTCTGTGGGAGAGAGGGCTGTTTCTGATTCTTTCTTTTGAGGTGAGGTTTTCCTTCTAGTCATTTTGCTCAGTGCGGAGTGGCCAAAAACAAGTTGTATTGGAACACGGGGGAGTATCACTGGTCCGTCCAGCTGGTCTTCTGGGGGAGGGGCCTGCTGTGCTGATTCTCAGGTGTTAGCACTTGGGGGAGCTGCTCTGCCCCTGCCTGCTGCCGGGCTCAGCGGGGGTTGTTTACCCCGTGAGGCCCCAGGAGGATCAGCCGCAGTTGCTATGGCAACTCTGGAAGCCTGGATTCAGCCTCCGCAGGAACTACGGGGCTCGGGGCTCTCGGCTCTCCGTCCGCAGGGCCTGGAGGCTCCGGGGCGGGGCCGCTGATCTGCTCAGCTCGGGGCAGGAGCGTCCTCGCTGTCCTGGGCCCTCCCGGCCTCTGCCTGTCCCGGGGGAGGCCGGATCCTGGGCTGTGTCCCGGCGCCCTGTGCTCCGGGGCCTGCGCTGTTGGATTCGCGCTCCCTCCCCGCAGCCCCCTCCGCGGAGCCGCTCCCGAGCCCCTCCGAGCTGCTCCGGGTCCCGCCGTGCGCGCTGCAGCCCTTAGGGAGCTCGGCGCACTCTCCCGGGGCGCAGGTGTCTGTTAGTGTCCCCGGGAGCCCGAGGGCATCCCCGCCCTCCTGGGTCCTGTTCCACCTCCCTGCGAGCCCCTTTCCGCCCGCCCGGGAAGGTTGGTGCAGCTCCTGCTCCTCCGGGACGGGGCTCTCCTGTCCTGGGACACTCGCCCCGGCCTCAGCCCGGCTCCTCCGGGGCCCCTCCCCCTCGGAGGCCTTTTGTTCCTTTATTTCTTTTTCCCCGTCTTCCTACCTTGATAGAAGTGCGGACTCTCCTCACTGTAGCATTCCAGCTGGTCTCTCTTTACATCTCAGGCCGAATTCGTAGATTTTCAGGATGGTTTGAAGGTTATCTAGGTAATTTGGTGGGGACAGGTGATTTGGGGACCCTGCTCTTCCGCCATCTTGCTCCTCCCCCTCTTCTTTTCCATTTTTCAAATTTCACCCCATTAGGGGATAAAATCATACATTTTACAGTAGCATGATGCAGCCACTCCATGGCTTCTGAGGAAATGAGGCCCATTGGCCTAGTATGGAATTATATTTAAGTCCAGAGGCAGAGAGGTGATTATTTATACATTGAGGAAGCTCCACTTTCAGGGAAACAGAAGGTAGGAAGACACTAATGAAGGAATACATGATTTTACATGTAATATACACTTAAATTTTGAAAGCAACAAACAGGCAATAGAAAAGCACACACATCAAAATGTATTATCACAAAGTACCCATCATACAGGTTAAGGGAAAGAAGATCACTAGAATCTAAAAGCACCACTTCATCACTTCATGTTCCCTCCACCCCTCAGATAACGACTAGTCTGACTTACTGTACTATAAATTAATTTTTCATAGATTCTAATATATAATATTTATGGGGTTGTACTATCTTGTATTGAATGTGTCTCTGGCTACCATCATTCGATTTTATTTATATAAAATTCATCCATGTTGTGCATCTGTGGTATAACTCATTCATATTAATTACAGTATAACATTCCACTCTATTGTATATTACAATTTACTTACACAAAATACTGTTGATTCACATTAGCGTTGATTTTAATTTTGGATATTAAAAATAATGCTGCCAGGAGCTTAAGTACTTATTTTTAGTGCACAGAATATGTTATTTCTGTCAGCTGTATACCAAAGACTAAAACCTCTAGTCACAAAATATGCCAATGTTTATCTCTGACAAAGACTGACGGAGTTTCCAAGGGGTTTGTTCCGGTTTATATTTACATTAGCATTGCTTAGCCTTCTTATTGTTTGTTTTTGCCAGCACTCAGTATGGCCAATTTTTTTTTTCATTTTAATCATTCTGGTGATGTGTCATGATATTGTATGGTAGCTTTAATTTGCATTTTCCTGAGGATTAATGATGTTGAGTACCTTTTCACATGTTTATTGGCCACTAAGAAAAGGCCTTTGGTGAAGTCCTTATACAAGTAAAGCCCTATTGCCTCTGTACTATTGCATCACTTTTTTCTCTTACTGAAATATGCCCAATTAAATTTGAGCAAGTTAGAGACGGATCAAATGAAGAATTAGGTTTGGCCATGCCAGATTTGGGATATTAATTAGGTACTTGGACGTGGAGGCCTAGAAGGCAAGTTGAGTATGTGAATTTGGTGTCAGGAAAGAATGAGTTTGGAGATATATATTTGAAAGCTTTCAACCCACAAATGGACTTAACAACATGGGACTAAACACTGCCAGTCAGAGTAAGGCTAAACCCTTAGGGTACTCCAACACTTAAAGGTTGGAAAAAAGAATACCAGAAAGGAGACTGCAAAGAAATGGCTCGTGTGTTCAAAGAGAAGCCAAGGGTTTTAGTAGGTTTAAGACTTAAAATGAAGAGAAGTATGATATTTGCAAAAAAAGGGGGTGATCATCTCTACCAAAAAGTTCTGAGAGGTTGGGTAAAATGAACACAGATTAGCAAGATAAAAGTTGTTGGTAACCTTGGAAAAAAAGTGATTTCCATAGGGTATAACCTTGATGGAAGCAGGTTAATGAAAGCATAATATATTTAGTATGGATAGTTGGGTTTTTTTTTTTTTTTTGGATAGTTATTTTGTAACAGTTGCCATAAGATAGCCTAAAGGACTGGGAGGGGTTTGGAGGTGTACTGTCACAAGATGGAATACTCTCTAAAAATGAAAGATATTATAAGTTTGACTTACACTTGATTCTTAGGTGAGGAAATTCTGGGGGATGGCAAGAAAGATGGAATAATTGCTAAGAATGAGTCACTGTGTAAACTCAAGGGGATGAGATTGAATGTACAGGTGAAACTGGTAGAGGGATAATTCATCACAAGGAAACAATTATTCTGAGATCAGAGAAATTGGATATCAGACCCTCATATAAGTCTTATCTCTTGGGCATTACCAGCTAAAACCACATAATCTAGTTCATTCTGATTGTGACACTGTCTCTTATTGCTCTGGTGTAAGTGAAGTCAATAATGTGGAGCAATAGGGAGCAATTATCCTGTAACTGTGCAATGAAATATCATCTTAAAACTTCAATGAAACCCTTGAATTGCCTATTTTATAGATGTGGAAATTAAAGCTCTGAAGGACTGAGTAACTTTCACAACACCACTTAGCTACCACGTTGCTGAGCTGTGAATCAGCTTTCACATTAGATGCTTTTTTTTTTTTCTACAGTAACCATGAAATTTAACATCCAATGGTGGTATGTTTGAAAGTGAAAGGCACAGGCGTACTGGGCAATGGGTGTAAACTAAGACTTTCTAGAGCAAACACTGTGTATGATCACCCTATATTTTCTTCCACTTTTTGATATTCTTTACCATTCAATTCAAAGCATTCTATTCAATTTCAATTCTTCCATGGCTATTTTTAACACCAATAATCTTAAGGCTAATTTAGGTTTGAAAAATTAAAATAACGACAGAAAAACTTAAATATGCCTAAAGGATTAATTTATTGAAATGACTGGTTAGGAAATAGATATTTAAATAACAACAAACATGATTGCAAAAACTATACATATTTTTCCCATGCTTACGGGTATTTCCAACTCAAAATTAAATTTCTATGGTATAATTGAATTAAAGTTTGGAAAATGTAGAGTTTATGAGCCAAATTCAGATTAAGATGAATGCCAGATGATACATAAAATAAATAAAAGAACAAATTTTCATTTCTTTCCATGTAGGTTCATTTAAAAATTATTAATTTTTGGTAACATGATGCCAAGTGAAAAGATGCCACGTTTCCAGTCACAGTCAATTCTGTAGAATATAAAGCACATAAAGAAATTAGTTATGTTAAAAAAATAGAATTTGTTGTGTTATATGATAAATCTATTCATCCTCCTCATTTGTAATTTTGGTGTGATTGATTTACAAAGCAAAATTTGTTAGAAATGCAAAATGTTTAAACCAACCTTAAAAGAATATAAAAATTCCTGTTTTATTAAATATCAGCTTAACTGATAGTTTTTAGTAAAATGTAAAATGTCTAGTCCATCATGATCACAGACAGGTTTTTATGAATCCTAAAGCTATTTCCTCTCCTCTTTTTAAATCTCATACCTGGAATAATTAATTTTATTTTGACTCATGAATTAAAGGATAATATGTAAATTTTTAGATTTTATTTATTTATTCATGAGAGACAGAGAGGGAGGCAGAGGCAGAGGGAGATGCAGGATTTCTGCAGGGAGCCCAATGCAGGACTTGATCTCAGGACCTCAGGATCAAGCCCTAAGCTGAAGGCAGATGCTCAACCACTGAGCCACCCAGGCATCCCATATGTAAATTTTAAATGAGATAAAAAACAATGGAAGATATGAGGCCTAAATCAAAATGAGAATGAAAGTGATCTTTTTAAAAATCTCAAATATATTCATATAAAAGTAGGAGAAATTATTTTGTTTTTCCTAAAAATGATGATAATCAAGCATCAGAATATAAGCATTTGAATGCAGACCAGTCAAATCTGTCAGCAGCACATCATTAAAATTTGATACATAATTTCAGGTCAACAGATAATAGTCAACCATTGAGACCTCCATGACACTTTAATCATTAATAAACAAGTTGGTATATTGATAAAACTTGTCACTATCTTGGACTTATCCAGGAGAATGAAATGTGAAAAGATATCTATAAAAATGATCAATCTAATCTTCAAATTCTCAAAACTTACCAAAAGTGAGGAGGGGACATTAACTTTGGAATTCTTTTAAACCTTAAGAATTCAAAAAAACAAAAATAAAAATAAATAAATATACAATTCACATTTTGGCACACAGACATTAACACAAAGACATTTTCCTTAAGAATTCTTTGAATAATGAAATAATTATCTCAATTGCTTACCAACTTATGTACATATGTCAAAAGTAAGATGTGAAATAAAGCATTTGCAGAATAGATAAGCACAAGAAAAATTTCAAAAATGTAGAAAATAATAAACCTTTATTCCAAGCCCAATCAGACTATAAAATTTAATTCTAGCTTTAATAAGCTTTAATCCTCTTTATCTAGATTTTTAATAGATCAATCAGAATCTCCTGAAGTGAATTTTCCCAATAGTAACTTCTTTTTTTTTAATTTTTTTTAATTTTTATTTATTTATGATAGTCACAGAGAGAGGGAGAGAGGCAGAGACACAGGCAGAGGGAGAAGCAGGCTCCATGCACCGGGAGCACGATGTGGGACTCGATCCCGGGTCTCCAGGATCGCGCACTGGGCCAAAGGCAGGCGCCAATCCGCTGCGCCACCCAGGGATCCCCCCAATAGTAACTTCTACATAGAAAATCAGAACAATTATATCAGAATCTTTGTGGGTAGGCTAGATATTGGGATTTTGGAAAGAAAAAGTTCTACAGGTTTTTCTATTATGTTGCTAATATTGATAATCACTGATCTAAACGACCCATTCGTTTTTCATTTACTCTTTCATTCTATAGCTCTCACTTCCTCTATCACCATATTCATGTCATAAGTGAGACAGCAGAATTAATAAGTTTGGACTTACAAGAGCAGAGTTGACAAGTGGGGCAAGTGGTTGAGTCACAGGTTGGGCCTGGTGGGTAGGTTCCTGGTATGGCAGAAAGGCTTGTAGGGGCATATCTCTCTGGAGGTAGGGCACCACTTGCTGAGGAAAAGGCAATACTTTGGGCTGTGGGATAGACAGCAGTGACTGAGGAGTAAGCATAGGAGTCTGAGGAAGAGGCTGAGGGATCTGGTGCATCAGAGGCTGGAGCAGAGGCAGAGGCAGAGATAGAGGCAGAGGAAAATGCATATTTTCAAGATCAGCCACATTCAGGATTTGGCTGTCCAAAAAGGGTGTCACTGGAGATTTAAGAAAGGGCATTACTTTGTGCCTAGGAAAGATGTTTTCCTTAACTTTGGGGACTTCCATTATTTCAGGCTGAAGGAAAGGCACCACCACAGCAGGCTGAGCAAGAGGCAGGATGTTCTGTGGAAGGATAGCATAGTGGATGGGATCAGCATAAGGAGAGACTAGAGGCTGTTGCTGGAAAAGGGGGTGGATTTTATTCTGGCGTTCATCCTGGAAAAAAGGAAAAGAATCTTTGAGTCTATGCTTCCTCTATAACAGTCATTTGTGAGGAATTAACCTCCTCTCTTTTGAACAATCATAATTGAATGAAAAGAGAGAAAGAACATCTTTTTCTGATCTTGGTTGAGAAATTATTTTCAGTCAGGTGAAGACTAATGAGTAAAATGCTCATTGAGGAATTTCTCATTAACTCACTCCCTTCATAGGTGAATCTACAGACCAAACTGAAATCAATGTTTGGAGATTTCAAGACTCGTTTCACCTTTTTCTGAATTGCCTAGATAGTGGTAGCTGTCCACTTTGGTCTTCATAGGCATAAACTTTTCAACATAATGTTTTGATAATGGACCAAATTGTGTTCATATAATAAAGATCTATTTAAAAAGAGTTAAAGGAGAACTCCAAGGTTTATTTGTTGCTGCTGCTGTTGTTTTAATGAAAATTAACTCTTAATTTACAGCTTAATTCAAGGACTTAACACCAGCCACCTTCTAGCCCTACTTCCCTTGGTAGAAGGTCTTTTGAGAGTCATCAGTTTGTAAATTCATTTTGATTTAGGAAATATTGGGCATAAGTTCCAAAAAAATACTTCACTGATAAAATAGGGAAGTTGAAATATTACAATTAGATAAATATGTTACCACAAATGTAATTTGATTAAATGAAGAATTTTATGTTGTCTAAGAAAATCCTTAATTTTAAGCAAGCTCTACTACTTAATAACTGTGATATTGTCAAACAATTGCACTTATGTCTTCAATATATATTTTTAAAATATTTTATTTATTTTTTCATGAGGGACAGAGAGAGAGGCAGAGACATAGGCAGAAGAAGAGATACTAAGCAGGGTTCCCGCAGGGAGCTCAATGCGGGACTTGATCCCAGGACCCCAGGATCATGCCCTGAGCTAAGGGAGATGTTCAATGGCTGAGCCACCCAAGCATCCTTGTCTTAAAAATATTTTGACTTTGTCAAAACTTAATTTCCTCAGTGGCATTTGTTTTATTATCATTCTTTAGAGTGAATACATACATATTTTGTATGTATTATATTTCATAATAATGTTAGAAATATAATTCTCAAGCATAAATTACCTCTCTTTGCTGTTGCTCCTCGTGTTTAAAATTCTCAAGTTTCTGCTAAAAACCAAATCACATGTAAAGAAATGTTACCACCTATAAAAATTAAACGTAGGAAGTTTTGAAAATAAGTACATTTAAATACAAAGATGTTACCTTGTTGATGTGTGTAATAGATTCCTTAAGAAAAATAAAAATAAAATTAGGTTTAGTTTTATGAATGCTTCTTATTTATCAATATAAGTCAAGAAATGAAGGCATGTAATAGGTTAATGTGGACTCTTTGATGATATTCTAAACTCAGGATAATTGCTGAAACTTATATGTTGCACTGTTCTGCATAAACTTACCATATAAAAGAAAAACGAATGCAGTTTTATAAGAAAATAGTGAACACAGTAACAAAAAGAGGTATTTAATAGATGTTAATTTCTATCACCATGCTGTCTTCCTAGGTCAACAAATGATTACTTATATTCTATCTGATTCTAAAGAATAATATTTGTTGATGATATGAATTTTATCTTTTAATTCTTTTAATCATTCTTAGTTTACTTACTGTGTTTACACTTCAAATTAATTATAAGAAATAAATACCTCTCTTAGGGGCTGATAACCTTGTAGAGAGGCAAAGTATACTGACATACTATTTAACTAACAGGTAATAACATATCCATAAAGAGTGGTGCCAAGGTAAATACCTACCTTATTCTCCCAGGCAGATTAAGACTATACTACCTCTCACCATCTCTTATTTACTAAAGTGACTATTGTAATTATAAAAGGTGTCTATTTGCATGTCTGCTCACGTATTATATTGCAAGCTCTTTACTCTGGGCATCCCTCTTTTCCCTTTGTACCACAGCTCCTATTCAATGTCTGACCCACAGACAGTGCCCAATAAATATCAGAATAGGGAAATGAGGCCAGGGTAAAAACAGCCCAAGACAGAGAACAGGACTGTACAGTTCATTAAAAAAAAAAAAGAGGGGGTCACGATGACAATTTCAAGTAGTGAGACAATTTAGAAAGTGCTAAAATAGTGAATTCACCAGATATTTATTCTATCTTTATGCATATGCAATGGAAACAAAACATATACAATGGAAATTTACATCAAAACTTATGTCAAACAGAGCTGCATTGAAGTAATTGTCCTAATGTAACACAATAGAAAGATAGCACAGCATTTTACTCTTCTCAAACTGGGGAATTGCCTCTGAAAACATTTTCTTACCTCACTGCTTGAAAGGCTTTCCACAGTCTGTAAAGAAAAAACAAATCTATCAACAACCAGCTTTTCCTAGATCATTGAAGAATGTTAATATTTTATGGTTGAAAATTTTTTGTGAATAAAAATATCCTACCTCATTGGATAGAGTGAGTTCTTCCTTCTGTAACAGAAAAAAAATACCATTTTAGTTTCCAAGGCTAACTCATTCTTAAACATTTTCCCTATATGATTTTTATCTTCTATATGCAGAGCTATGTGTTTCACAAACTTGAGAAATAAAAAATGCTATATCGAAAGACTTGAAAGGTAGTTATTTTTATGTCTTTTATATTTAGTAACTTTATCGATATATTTTCTTCTTATGTGAATAAACGTTTCTAATGGCTAATAGAAAAAAGTTATTATAATTTGTTTTAAACAGTTTATTATTATTACAAATATATTTATGATTATGATTATCGTGTGATACTCCATCCTCTCTCTAAATGTCTTTGGACAAACACGGGTAGAATTGGGCCCAGGGCCATAAGGTAAAGATACATATATTTTATTACTGGAATAAGATATATTTATCTAGGTTGCACATGCCTGCAATCATATTTGTGCAATATTATTATTGTCATGTTTATATCCATTTATTTTTGTTTCGTCTGTTTGCTTATCTGTCCATTTGCTTTTCTTTTTGGGACTGGTAGCACAGTATATACCACTGTATACCATTTGACCCAAATCTGTGCTCCTATTGCACACTGTCAAAATAATGTGTCATGCAAATCATTTTCCAGGAAGTCAAAATAAATCTGTTGAAATTCTGCTTTATTTGTACTTTAAATATGTTGAGGATATTCTTCTCTCCACATGGGTAGATACTCCATTCTATCCTAATTAGACATTTGCTTACCTCTGTTGCAAGAGCAAGAGCCACAAGGCAGGCAAGGATGAAAACCTTCATGGTTATCAAGTCCTGTCAATGAGAAAATGAAAGAATGGTAATACCTTGCTCAAGCTATTTTCTTAATTTATCTAGGATTACTTTCCTTTTAAAGAAACTAAAGATAATATGTAATAAAAAAAACTGTATTTTAGGAAAAAATACTAATAGATGTTTTATCATATGGTCAAGGTCAAAATCTACTATGGCTCTTTACTCTTACATGTCATTTTCATACCATTCAGATTTTTTCATCCATTACCACTACCCTACCTCACTCTTTCTCATCTCATTCACAGCACTATAGTTGGGTTTTTGGAAGGACAGAAAAAAAGTTATAAATATTTACAGAAATATTTACTAATTGATTCATTTGTTCAAAAATATTTATTTAACATCTTTTATTGCCAGACACTATTCTAGGTACTGGGTTGATAGCAGCAAACAAATGTCTCAGCCTTGGTAAAGCCTCAGTTCTATCAGGAGGTAACTGATCAAAGAAAATGTATATGCAGATTATATTTTCTTTTATTTTTTTTTCTTTTTACTAAACTAATGGTTTCCATGAATATTTGTTTAATCATTTCCATATAATAATGCCTCCTCTCTTTTGCGCACATAACTTTAGAGATCGTACACTGTATTTTTTTTTTTCTGATTTCTTGATGATTTACCAAAGTGTCAGGTCCCCTTGCCCAATTCCCACTCCAAACAACCTCTTCTTGTAGTATAACATGATATATATGTTAAAGTTTCTAACCAAAATGTACTAAATGCTTGATTTTGTTGCATTTCTGTAATTGCTTATACAAAATAATGTTTGTACCACTAATATCATTTGGCATACAATCTTCAATCTCAGATATTTAAACAAATTTCTAAACTAAAAATGTCTCATGAAAAAAGTCCCTAATTCATCTGCGAAATATCCCTTCCAATATTTGAAGTCTGAAAATTATTCTTACTTCAGGAAAAGATTTTCTTTTCTATATCTTTCTCATGGGTACTATATAAACTTTAATTTTACTTTGCTTAAGAGCTTCAGAAGTTTCCAAATAATTTCTCATTGTCAGGACCCCCAAAAAAGAATATAGTATTCTATTAGAGATCATAACGTGTAGGAAGAATCTCATTTCATTTTCTATATTTTCTAATTAACATTTTATATATTAATTTTTTAGCCAGAACCTCATTTTTTACCAATGTATTCTATAGTACTCTTTCTTTCAAATCTTCTCTTTCTTTTGCTTTAGCTTCAAGCCATCTCTGTATCATCTAGAATTTTTTTCCAAAGTAAAACATTTTCCTTTTAACTTAATTCTGTATTTTATGTCTATTTTAACAATATTTTGAGCTATTATAAACCAAATGATAAAGGGGGAGGTTGGATACACTAAATAAATTTGAATACATACTTCTGTAAAAATATTTATAAACATTTCTAGTGCACATCCCCAAACAAGTTCTGCAGTTTCTTGACTCAATATGCTACCTCTAAAACTACTTTTGAATAAAAGTTTCCCATTAATTATTCATATCCCAATCCAATAATTTAAGTATATTTTCTTTTATTGCTTTAGTATGTTTAACCAACTTGGAAGATTTATTAATTCAAGAAGTAGATTTTTTAATATAGCTTATTCATTGGCTTTGTATTAAAAATAGTTATCATTATTACTACATTTTTTAGACTCATAAAACATTTGCAGTCATAATTTTTATCAAATCTTCTTAGATCTTCCTATTTTTTTAACCCAGGTGTTGAAAATAGTGTCAGTGCTATTTTAAATACTCTTATTTCAAAGATCCTATTTTAAGCAATTATTTTCTTCATATAATTCAGCCTACTTGAAATAAAAGTGAAGAGAGAATACATAAAATTTATATATGAAATTCTTACCTTTTCTCCAAGGTGGAGTACAGAAAGTGAAGGGGAAGCTAAGTGGATGATGGTCTGTCTGCTTTTGTGGTGGTTTATATACTGTATTTGGTGGTATGCTAATTTTGCGGTTTGAGATAAAATCAACGGTGAGCTTCAATTCCAAGAGGTCCACATGATTAGAATATGATTTCTGCCTATTATCTGTCCCCAGAAATTCTGAGGAGCATTTTAACAAGAAAGCAAATCACAAGCCAATAAAGGAAATCTGTCCAGGAAATGTAATTGTCTAATAACTGGAAGACATTGAGGCTCTGGCCCAATCCACAACTTATTGTGGATGCAGTTAAGTCTCTACAGCCCTTGGTGGCTCCTCAAGATATTAACTGTGAGGGGATTTCTATATGAATATCAGACATACGAGGGACTTCACCAGAGGCCACAACTTCACGCCAACCTAAGCAGTTGTTGGTGTTTCATGCTGCAGTGGAGAAAATAACAAGATAACAAGTCCATGATGATAGTTTAGTCATGTAAGGCTAATTGCTAAGCTCCCAGGACTACTTGATTTGGGAAGAATAAATTTCTCACTTCAACATTCTGTACACAAGAGGAATAAATCTTCCTCTGTAATGAAACATCTCATGAAAGGAATCTATCTGGATAGCTGGTATAGTTAAAATTCTTGGTAAATCTGTAACAAAAATTTTATAAAATGTCATGCAGACTTATTAACCTGATAAATATTATCTTTTTCTTTTTTCTTTTTTTTTTTTTTTTTTTCTTAAGAGAGAGAGGCAGAGACACAGGCAGAGGAAGAAGCAGGCTCCATGCACCGGGAGCCCGACGTGGGATTCGATCCCGGGTCTCCAGGATCGCGCCCTGGGCCAAAGGCAGGCGCCAAACCGCTGCGCCACCCAGGGATCCCATATTATCTTTTTCTAATTCAGGCATAATAACCTTTATTTTTATGCTTACTACACCCCTATTCCAGGCACTATGTGTTTTACAGACATTATCTTGTATAATCTTTACAAAAATATCATGAGGTAGTTGTCCTCTCCATATTTTGGTTGAAGAAATTGAGACAAGAGATTGAGTAACTTGCTCAAATCATATTTTCATTAATTGCAAAGATACCACTTAAAACTAGATCTGTCTGACTACATGTATTTCTGTTTGATCATATGCAGTGTCCATGTTTTAACTCCTTTTATAAACTGTTATAAAACTTGTTCTTAATGTAGCATTTGTGCTTAAATGTGTAGGATTTAATTATGCTTGAATTGGAGGAGTGGGGCATTGGTGCTGAGTGTGGGCAGGGGAATTGGTTATTAAAGAGCTGTGCTTTTAGTTAGACCTGAAAAGAATAAGTAGTATTTTAAGAAATGATAAAATGTGAATAAAGTATTTTGGCTGAAGGAAAGATAGGAATTGAAGAGAAAAATACCACATTTGGTGGGATTTGTGCTTCAGGATATGTAGAAGGCAGAGAGTATAAAACTACTATTGCAAGGGTTTGATGGAGTCAGATCATAATGCCTTTGAATTTCAATTATGCAGGGTGACATAGTTCACTGGAAATAAGGAAAGATACTAGAGATTTGAAATAAGGAGGGATTGTGAAATTTCTTGAATTTTATGACTTTATGACACTATCTTAGGGTAGCCTAGTAAAGGAGTTATTATAGTGACATGTTAGTAACATACTATAGTAGTTGAAGACAGACATTATGATGACATCAACTAGAAAGATGGTACTGGGCATCTTAAGCACTGAGAAGACAAATATGTCATTAAAATATGAGAAATGCAAGAAATCAGGGAAATGAATGAATAACATATGCCTGGGTTTTGAAAAGTTAATCATGTTGTAAACCAAGATAAGAAGCCAGGCTGAAATTAGAAAGGATTAAATCTTGTATACGGTAAGTTTGAAGGTATCCAGAAGGCTTTGCCGCTTAAATGTGATGCTTAGAGTAGTCATAAGTACGTTATAGAAATGTTTTTCCAAAGGAATAAATGAACTTCCCTAGGGAAAGTGTGCAAGTGAGAAAAGAAACTGTCTAAGACTAGAACTCAAGCGCCCCCTGTTATTCAGGGGCTGGTAGAACAAAAGCAAATAGGAGAAATACAAAGTATCGAGGAGAAGAGACTGAAAATCATGGAAGCCATGGGAGGAAATAGCTAGAAGAAACAAGTGGAATTAAGAAGAAAATACCACACAGGTGGAACTAAGGTGGAAACAAGGAGGAGGTTTTTGGACACAGAGTCATTATCATTGAAACCACTGGGATGCACTGCAAGTGGTTAAAAAACAAGTAATGTGGGAGGGATTCAAAGCAACACTACTCTTCTGAGATTTTAGAAGAGGAAGTAAAGACACCTGTGGAATGGTATCTAAAACAATAGGGACAACCAGAAACACAGGAAGGTAGTTTTAGGATCAAGATTTGTGGTTCAAAATAAAGAGATCAATGGTGAGAAAGCTGAAACACACCAAAGGTGTGGGAATAAATTGATGAAGCAAATTCTGATAGATTTGGGGCCACAGCCAAAAGAATTAGGCCTGCACAAAATGCACCAGTTTTCCTGACACAGAAGAAGTGGAAAAGAAGTCAATATAATACATACTTTGAAATATAGGGCACAGAATTTCAAATTAAATGATTTTAATTTTTAGATGTGGTTAATTTTAATTTTAAGATGTGGTTGATCTCAATTTTAGGATGTGGTTCTCAACAGACAGTGAGGTAAGCGGTTATGGGTTTGGGATATTTAAAAAAGAAGAAAATTCTGGTTAATGTGAAAATTTAATTTTCATTGTTCATTTTTAAAATGGACAAAGTATCCATATCAGTAATACATTCATTCAAACCCTTTTTAGTGTTTTGGTTTATTACTACTCAACTACTGGCCTCTCTGCTTCCTAGCTCAACCAATACTTGATGGTTAGTCATTTCAGCCCAAACACAATCAACCCCCCCCTTCACCCAAACAATTCTCTTGACCTATTGATATTATACTGCAACCATCTTGCCATACATCTACGTGGGTAAAGAAAACAATTTGATATCTAATATCACCTAGGTATTACCTATTATCTATTCTGTAGACAATGGGGATTTGTTGAAGGGTTTTAGGTTGGAGATAACAGTAAGAGAGTACCTACTTCTAGAGAACGAATGCTAGCTGTACACTTTTATTAATACGGGATTGCTCAGGTTTGGGTTCATATCTTTTGCAGTAAGTCAAAGTTTATCAGCTAATGCTTGTGAAAGAGCAGAAGATGGAAGGAAGACAGGAAACAGAAGCGCAGAGAGGAGCAGGATTTGCCAGAAGTGCTACAATATAGAGTCTGCGGCAAACCTCAAAAGCACTTAATATGTACCTACTTAGAAAAGAAGTCCTCAAATTTCTTTACCTCCTTAGTGGTTGATGTTCATAATGTAATTGTCTAATTGTGTATAAAGCTACTTCTTTTTACAATGTTCTTTTTTTCTCATTACTGATGGTAGATATATTCAGGCCTTAAGCACAGATAGATGCCCTTTACAAGTAAACAAGAAGGGTATTAGCATAATGATTATGTAACTTGCATTCATATCATGCTACATGTAGGAGGGATGAGAACACTCCCGATTATTGCTTATGTTTTATATTGCTTAGAAAACTTAAATCAATATTTACTGTGTATTTGAATTATTTAACTAATATTCATTCTAAGACTATTTTCATATTAAACCAGGAAGAAGCTATGAAAATAAATGATGAAATGACCCTAAAACCATATGTCCAAGTAGAAAAGACCTTGGCTGCCCAGGGTGCTCTTATGTATTAGCCCTCAGTTTGCCAAGGCCACTGGCAAAAGAGTGTAATTACTAAGAAAGGAATAAAAAAGCAAGCATGCCATACCCACTCAATATTGCCTTTGTGTCTTCTCAGCAATATGCTGTCTGTATTGTGCAATAAATACAGCATTTCCTTGTAAAACTCCTTCACCAATTTTGAGTTACAGTAGTTAGTATAGTTATGGACTCAGTTGGGCCAGAAAAGTAGGCAAGTGATCAAGGAAATCACTAAAAATACACTAAAGAAAGAGGCTTGTCCAAGAAAAAATGGAAAAACCAGAGATTTAAGATCATACCTGGTACCACTAGCTGGTAAGCATTAGAACACAATGACAGGTAAGGAGCAAAGTATCATGTGGGCAACGTAAGGTTTTCTAGTGCATAACTTAACAGTTGCCAATTATATAAAGTAAAATGAGAATTTCATCCATTGAAATTTTATGTGACAACCCTGGGTGAAGAGCAAGATACAGTCAAAGCAAGATGTGGAGTGCCTGGTGGGCTCAATCCATAGAGTGTGCGATTCTTGATCTCAGGGTTATGAGGTCAAGCCCCACATCGGGCAACTTAAACAAAACAAAACAAAAGCAAGATGCAAGATGTTCTAGGACTATTTGTCATAAACATAATTTGTTCAGCCAAAGTACTTTCCTATATTGACTACTGAATCTGAAATATGCAAGCATGAGTTTTGGGTGAGGCACAAAGATAAATAACTAAAACCATGTGAATAATATCCTGAAGAAAGAAAATAGATAAACTGAAACAAACAAAACAGTATAAAGAGTACAATAAAGGGACCAAAAAATGTTCAGAAAGTAAGAACTGGAAGAGATTCTAAATATCATTCATATAATGTTTTAAATGTAATTTACAGAGAAGGAATTTTGGGACCTGAGAATTTGCATTATTTGCTCAGATACTACATTTATTTAGAGATAGAGCTGATCCTAAAACCTTTCTCCTAAGTAATATTTGAGAAACTGTTTAATAACTTCCAAAACACAGTTGGGGATGGGGGGAAGGAAAATAAAACAACAAATAGCATGGATTTGTATAATGATCTAGGTTTATGACCAATATAACATAAAATTGGTTAACTCTAACAAATTATTAGGTAATAATAGATAGCATTATTTATTTATTTATAAGGAATATTTTAATTATTTCCATTAAATTATTTGAACAAAATAAAAAACTGTCTTTC